ACTACCTTAGCAACAAGGAGCTGCGGTGGCTCAAGTGGTTAAGACGCTGAACTGCAGGCTATGGAATGTCAGTAGTTCAGCAGTTCGAGACCTGGGTTGCTGCATGACGGAGTGAGCTCCCGTCTCTAGTTCCAGCTCCTGCCAACCTAGCAGTTTGAAAGCAAGACATTGCAAGTAGATAAATAGGTACCACTTCGGTGGGAAGGTAACTGCTGCTGAAGGGGCATCTATCTGATGCATGGTTAGATGTTGCAAGCGTGAGGTCTACTCTGCAGTGGCTCCTCCAGGGTGGAGTTCATTCAGTTTCTTTCTTTTATTTGTGACACTTTCTGACCCATCCCTGTGAGGTAGGCTAACCAGAGAGATCACTCTCCGGAGGGGGGGCGGCGGGGAGGATTGAGAACTGGGCCCACCTCTAAGCTGCTGCATGAATTTTTTGACCCTGCAGCGGCTGTAATGGATTGCTGCAATGGATCTGTCCTCTTGCAAGATTGGAGCAGGGCCTGATCCAAAGAGTGCTTTTGGCAAGGGTGCTGCTTTAGGGAAAACAGACATGGTCTACATTATCCCCCCCCCCCCGAGATTGTATGCAATCTTTTAATTGTATTGTTGCTCCGTCTTTATTGTGAATTTTATTTATTTATACACTTGTTTTAGATTGTTGAATGTTTTTATTGGTTTGTTGTTACCCGCTCTGAGCCTGGTCACTGGGGAGAGTGGGCTATAAGTCTAATAAGTGAAAGTCTAAATGAAATGAACATGAAAGATGGAGGCTGCAATATAAGGACCGGTAGCATACTTCTCCCCCCGTGCCCCGCTTTTGCTATTAAAATCAAACCCCGCTTTTGCTATTAAAATCAAACCCCAAAACCCCTGGCTTTAAATGCTTGGATCTTGGACTCCATGTTTGGTTGGGGGTGTGTTTGAATGTTATGAGTATGAGGACATGCGAGGAGCTTTGCTGGATCAGGCCGCCCTCCACCTGTCCAGCCTCCAGTTTGCAACAACAGCTAGCTGAGTATATGTGAGTGGACCCTGTTCTTTGGCTTGCTCCAGACATGGGTATTCAGAGGTATAGTGCTAGTGAGAGCCAGTTTGGTGTAGTGGTTAAGTGTGCGGACTCTAATCTGGGAGAACCGGGTTTGATTCCCCACTCCTCCACTTGCACCTGCTGATGTGACCTTGGGTCAGTCACAAGCTCTGGCACAGCTGTCCTTGAAAAAGAGCAGTTTGTGTCAGAGTTCTCTCAGCCCCACCCACCTCACAGGGTGTCTGTTGTGGGGAGGGGAAGGGAAAGGAGTTTGTAAGTCGCTCTGAGACACCTTTGGGTAGTGAAGGGCGGGGTATAAATCCAATCTCTTCTCTCTTCTCTTCTAGTGGATATGGAGGTTCACTCTTGCTATCCTGGCCAGTAGCCATTGTTTGGGCCTATTCGCCTGTGAACTGATTGCCTCTTTTTTCTTTTAAAGCCATCCAAGCTAAAGGGTGTCATTTTGTTGCCAGAATGTGACTCCCTGCATAGTTTATGGTCTGTTAAGCTTTATAGGTGTTGGGCCCATTTTTTAAAAAATCCAGGTTTTTAATGAAAGGGGTTGATCTTTTTAACACTGTTTTTATAGACCGATTCGTACTGTGGGACCATTTTATGAGGATTGTTTTTAAGCTGCTCAACATGTTATGCTGTTTTTATGACCCGGCCAGGTTTTTAATGGTTTATTAATCATTACATGCTTCAATGTAGTGTGTTATGTTTTTACGATGTTCTGCATTGTAATCCTCCTCAAGCATTTTCTTTGGAGAGGCAGCATAGCAATGTTCTAAGTAAATGAAGGATCTAGATCGATCTCATAAGACCATCAGAAGAACCTTGCTGGATCAGACCAATGGTCCATCTAGTCCAGCATCTAGTCTCACGCAGCGGCCACCCAGTTCCTCTGAATAGCCAGCAGCAGGGCATAGAGGCTGAGGCCTTCCTCTGATATTGCCTCCTGGCTCTGGAATTGAGAGATTTACCTGTCATTGTGGAGAATAATAACATAAGAAGAGCCCTGCTGGCTCAGACCCAGTGGTCCATCTAGTCCAGCCTCCTGTCTCACTCAGGGGCCAACCAATTATTCCGGAGGGCCAGCAACTGGGTAGAGAGGCCAAGGCCTTCCCCCGAGGTTGCCTTCTAGCTCTAGCCTCTTGTCAGAGCTCAGAAGCTAAACGGGGTCAGCCCTGGCAAGTATTTGGAAGGGAGACCTCCAAAAGAATACCAGGGTCATGACATGGAGACAGGCCATGGCAAACCACCTCTGGCTGTCTCTTGCCTTGAAAACCCCGTGGGAGTCACCGTACGTCAGTTGTGACTCAACGGCACTTTCTGCCACCACCCGTCTGTTCAAGGGAAGCCAGGCAGGGTGTGAGTCTCACCCCGTAGATTTTACCTTCGCGAGCTTTTTCTCTTGCTTTTCTCCCACCACCCCCACTGGCCCCATGGCACCCGAGAACCAGAAGGAAGCTTAGATGACCACTGGTGTAGAGTTGCCAAGTCACTCGTACTCACTGGCGGGGGAGTGGCGCCTGGGTCCGGGAGCAGCCGATGGACGTGCGGGTGCTGCCAGAACGTCACAGGAAGTGACGCACGACGTAGAGCATGTTGGGGGCATGGCCCCAATCGTTGGAGGGGAAATCGGGCCTCCAAAGCGGGGGTTTACCCACCCCCACTGGCAGCCCTACACTGGTGCCTCCAAAGGCGGCATGCGCTCCGTGGGCACATAGGAGACAGCAGCCCTTGGCTCGCGTCTCCCCCCCCCATCGCTCTCTCCTCCTCTGGTGACGCTTCAAGGGCTGGAAAGTTGCTGGCCTCGGCAGTTCCCCCTCCCCTCCCCCGGGGAGTGATGGATTGAACTTCAGCTCTGGAGACTCCTGGAGGATGCCTCCCGCAAAGTCAAAGCGGCTCTGCTATTTTTGCCCTCTTTGTTCTCGCCTGGTGGAGAATTCCTTTCTGGAGGCGCTGTGATGGGAAGCGGCCTGGCCTACTTGGGAGCGGGGGGGGGGGGGATATTCATTGCTTGGGGCGGAATAAGAGAAAGAAACATTTATTTAAAATATTTGTAAGCCTGCCTTTCTTCTGACAAGTTAGGGGCCCGGTCAGCCTTTACACATTATTATTATTGTTATGGTTTCAGGGCTCTTTTTGTAGCAGGAACTCCTTCGCATATTAGGTGACACCCCCCTAATGTAGTCAATCCTCCAAGAGCTTACAGTAGCCCCTGGAAGAAGAGCTCTGTAAGCTCTTGGAGGATTGGCTACATTAGGGGTGTGTCCCCATGCAAAGGAGTTCCTGCTACAAAATGAGCCGTTGTTGTTGTTGTTATTTTCCTCTTCTTTGTTACAATTATAAACAGGTGGGCTGCCCTGACCTGGATAGCCCAGGCTGGCCCGATCCCATCAGATCTAAGCAGGGTCAGCCCTGGCACGTATTTGGATGGGCAACCTCCAAGGAATACCAGGGCCGTGATGCAAAGGCAGGCAATGGCAAAACCACCTCTGAAATGTCTTTCAGTTTGGTGTAGTGGCTAAGCGCATGGACTCTGATCTGGGAGAACCGGGTTTGATTCCCCACGCCTCCACTTGCACCTGGCTGGATGGCCTTGTGCAAGCCGTAGCTCTGATAAGAGCTGTCCTTGAAAAAGAGCAGTTTCTGTCAAGAGTTCTCTCAGCCCCGCCTACCTCACAGGGTGACTGTTGTGGGGAGGGGAAAGGAAAGGAGTTTGTAAGCCGCTCTGAGACACCTTTAGGTAGTGAAGGGCGGGGTATAAATCCAATCTCTTCTTCTTTTGCCTTAAAAACAAATCTGACTCATCGCTTAGTGATGCATCACACTCAAAGAGCCGGAACTTGTGGCTGCCAGACAATCTTAAGATCTCCTGGCGATTCTACTCACAATGCCATACAATTATTATTATTATTATTATTACAGGTGGGCCTTGCCACCTTGGGCCCCTTTCCGGAGGGCAGAGGCAGGACACAAACACTTTAATAAATAAATAATTCTCAGACACAGAGTTCAAAACCTGAGCACTGTCAGGCGTTCAGTATTCCATAGCACTTCCTGTGACGCTGCAGAGCGTTGAAAATGTGCCCCCTCCCAAAGAGAAGGCCCTGGAGGTAAATGCCTCTGCCAGCAGGACGGTTCCAACGAGAATTGTTGTCCACCCCAGCCTGAGGAATCCCAGGCAATTTGGAGGCAGTGCCACATGGACAGGGAAATTTGGGGAGGGATATCACGCCCAGGATCTGTTCTATGTCTTGCAATCCCCCCCCCCCCTGAAGCTGCCATTTTTTCCAGGGGAGCGGATGTCAGTCATGTGGAGATCAGTGGAAGATCTCCTGGCGATTCTACTCACAATGCCATACAATAGTAATTAATATTATTATTACAGGTGGGCCTTGCCACCTTGGGCCCCTTTCCGGAGGGCAGAGGCAGGACACAAACACTTTAATAAATAAATAATTCTCAGACACAGAGTTCAAAACCTGAGCCCTGTCAGGCGTTCAGTATTCCATAGCACTTCCTGTGACGCTGCAGAGCGTTGAAAATGTGCCCCCTCCCAAAGAGAAGGCCCTGGAGGTAAATGCCTCTGCCAGCAGGATGGAACTGTAGGTTCCAACGAGGATTGTTGTCCACCCCAGCCTGAGGAATCCCAGGCAATTTGGAGGCAGTGCCACATGGACAGGGAAATTTGGGGAGGGATATCACGCCCAGGATCTGTTCCATGTCTTGCGATCCCCCCCCCTCCCCGGAAGCTGCCATTTTTCCCAGGGGAGCAGATCTCAGTCATCTGGAGATCAGTGGTAATTGTCGGAGAATGCCAGCCCACACCTGGAGGCTGGCAGCCCCACCTTCCGGACCAGAATTATCCCCCGACTACAGATGTGTTCGTGTTTCTAGAAACCCCTAAAGCCTTAAACGACCGAGGGGCTCAGGTCTGAAGGTAGGGTTGCCAGCTTCCAGGGGGTAAGAGACCCAAGCAGCAGAGAAGCACGGAAGGGAGTAAGTAATGCAAAAGATAACAAAGGTCAAACTGTGCGTAATTTTTTTAAATTATAAACATTTTATTACATTTTTGAGATACTTATACACAATCTATTTCCAGAATATTGTACATAGTAATTGGAATGTCAAAAAAGAGACAGCAAATGTAACCGAGTAATAATTCCAGCACATGGAATCCAAAATTGTACAAAAAACAGAAAATGCATATTAAATTATTGAATGTCAAAACAGAATAAACCGTGAGTGTCACTACTCTGCAAAAAAGTTACAATATCAAATTTCACAGAACAATAAAAATTCAACCTTCATAACCAAAATGGCATAAATAACAAAAAATGTATATAAAACATTCAATGAGTATAATAATCTAAACCTGTATGAATAGTATAGGGGGGTTACTTTGGAAGGTGGGCTCTGTGGCGTTACACACCATTGAAGCCTGCTCTGAAAGGCTGAATGCCCACGCCCCTTAAGCGAGGTCGAATCAGTAGAGCATAGGTTCTTCAGCTGCCCATTTTACAGGGAGGCTCATCTTAAAATCATTACCCCATTAGTCAATAGGACACCTGGTCACATTAAAACAAAAAACGCAAGGCTTCACTGGCTCCTATCAGATAAGTCATGGGATATCAGATAAGAACACAGAAATTATACGCTCAGTTACTGAGTTCTGTGCATTAATTCTTAGATTGCGGGAATCGCATTTTAAAAGTTCTTAAATTCAGATTTTGTCTTTTGTATATTATGACTGTTTTATGCCTACTCTGTACGTTGGTCTCAAGAGAGCGATAATAAACTAACTAAACACCATTGAAGTCCCTCCCCTCATCAAACCCTCCCCTCCTTAGGCTCCACCCCAAAAATCTCCAGGCGTTTCCATCCTGGCCCTGGCAACCCTATCTGCAGGGCTGTCCGTCTTCTCCTGTCTGGACCTGCCTGTCGAATGAGGTCATCATTCGAAACCCTGTTCGTGGTTCTCCCACCTTCAGAGTTAGGTTCGGGGGGGGGGGCATCAGAGACAGGGTCTTTTCTGTTGTGGCATCGTGACTATGGGATGCCTTCCCCCAAACACATTTGCCTTTGCCGTTATTAATTTTATGAATAGGTAAAGGTTTAGACGGGTTTTAATGAAGGAGTGCTTTCTGTCTCTCGTCTTCTTTGATGTCGCCATTTCAAGGGGTATGCGTGTTTAGACTTCTTAATTTTCCAGTATTGATTCTTGACCTTGAAAAGGCCTTTTTGGACTCCAGTACGATGGAAAGGAAGGAATTGTGGGCGTGATTCAGGGTTGCCAGTCTCCAGGTAGAGTCTGTGCTCCAGAGTACCGAATTAGATTCCCCTGGAGGAAGTGTCAGCTCTGGCGGGGGGGCTGTATAGTATTCCATCTGTGCGGGTGCCCTGCCCTCCCCAGGACCAGCCCCCAATTGCCAGGAAGTTGTCCAGCCTGGCTGTGGTTGATGGAGGAGGAGAGGGGCTATGTGGGGAAGTTTGACAGAATCTGCAGGGGATATTTTGCCCTGCTTACATTGCTGTGTGCCAAACAACGGAGGCTCTGCCTAGAGTGCTTTGCCAAATGCGTCTCTGCAACACCGAAAGCTGGGGGGGGGGCTCTTTCAGAGTTGTACCGGACTGTGGGGAGAAGCCGTTCTCTGGGTTTGCTTCTTGGCATCCCCTCTGCCCCCCTTCCTGAATGACCGGTGCCCTTCCTCTCGTGTTAGGCCATAGAAAAGCTGATCGCTGTCCTGAACACGCTCGACAGGTGGATTGACGAGACCCCGCCGATGGACCAACCCTCTCGTTTCGGGAACAAGGCTTTTCGGACTTGGTACGCCAAACTAGACCAGGTAGGTAAAAGCGGGAGGGTAGAATGGAATCGCCAGGTTCTCTCTCTGACACTGTGGCAGCTAGTTGCCTCTGCCTTTTGTTAGGGATGCAGGCAGTATACCCTCTAAGCTGCGTTAGTGTGAGCTAGCTCACAGTTTTTTAGCCTCTGGCTCACACATTTTTGTCTTAGCTCAGGAAGGAGGGCTCCAGAGCAGACTAATTTATGCAGTAGCCAAATCACTCACAATTTTAATGCCAGTAGCTCGCAAAGTAGAATTTTTGCTCACAGGACCCCACAACTTAGAGGGAGCATTGGTTGCAGGGCTATTTCGATTGGCCCGTCTGGTGTGGAAAGGGACACCAGTTTTAGCTGCTGCAGCGTCTGACATTTCTTTATTTCACTTAATTTTTGCCCTGCCTTTCTCCCCCGTGGGTTCCCCAAGCAGTTGTTTACACTGTTCTCCTCTCCTCCGTTTTATCCTCACCGTGACCCTGTAAGGTAACAGAACAAATTTCGAGTCCAGTGGCACCTTTAAGACCAACAGAGTTTCATTTGAGGTATAAACTGTTGTGTGCTTTCCCTGGAGTTGGTATAAAAGACATAAGAACATAAGAGAGAAGCCAATGTTGGATCAGGCCAAAGGCCCATCCAGTCCAACACTGTGTCACACAAGACGGAAACAGTGCTTGCATAGCTGCTGTACATGAGCCTGCGTTTGAACCCTACGCTCATCACTGGAGGCCTTGCTTCGGCTTCTGAGTTTAGGTGTTTAGTAACCCCAGGGAGGACCTTCTCAGTAGTGGCACCAGAACTCTGGAACTCCCTCCCCAGGGAGATTCATCCGTCCCCTTCTGTGGCAGTCTTCTGCCAGCGGGTGAAAATACTCTTTTGTTGTCTGGCATTCCCTCAATGATCCCTCCTTCCTAACCAATGTTATAATTGCTGTGTTTATGTTTTGTATGTGGTTTGGCTCTGTCTTTAATTGTTTTAATGATGTGTTTTTTTGGGGGGGTTGATTTTAATGCTTTTAAAGTGTGATTTTATCATGTATGCCCCTTAGTAGCCCTCGTAAAGGCAGAAAGGTGAGATTTTGTAAATAATAATATTTCAAAAAAAGGGTATTTGGCTCCCCCGCCCCCATAACCTGGGGCAACAAAAAACCCCTATATGGATTGCTTAAACATGCGCTCCGTGCCATTTGCATCAGGCACTGTACAGCGCATGGAACTGATGTGGCTCCCTCCAAAAGAGGGATGAAGCTTGGGCAGCTGCGATTTCTTCTTGACGTGGGGAAGCTGGTGCCGGTGAAGTCTGAGCGCCTTTGATATAGCTTAACGTTTCCGCTGTGGGTTTTGTGTCTGGTTTTTTTTTTTTTAAAGGGAGCAGAAAGCCTGGTAGCCACAGTGATCCCCAAACATCTGGCAGAAGCAGTGCCGGAGGTGGCCGTCTACCTGAAGGAAGCTGTCGGCAACTCCACCCGCATCGACTACGGCACAGGTCTCCATCCATCAGGGGCTGGATCTTTTGGCAGGGGGTGGGACTTCCTCTGGGACCTGCTTCAGCCTACTGCTCTCCAGGAAGTATCTTTGGGGGCTGCTCAGCTGTTCCCAGCTTCCATAGGGCTGCTCGGGAGTTACTTCCTTGAGAGGAAGAAGACGGCCTCTCAGCAAAAGCCAGTCGCTTCTGGGGGAGGAGTGGAGGGAACCGAATTCCGTAGGCGTTTGTAGATAAACTTCTCAGATATTGGCACAGATTCTCCAGCTAAGCACCCCTCCATCATGCCTGGACGCAGCGCCTCCTGAGTGCCCGCTTCCCTTCAGCTTCCAGCAGCCACCACTGTTGCCATCGAGGGGAGGGCAGCCAGCAACCGGGCACCCCCTCTGTCATGCCTGGCTCCAGCCGAGCTGAGAATTCCGTCCCCAGGAAACCTTTGTGTCGAATGTCAGGGTTGCTTTGTAGTGTTTTGGGATGCAGGTTTACAGCCAAGTCAGTTATGCTGCTGATCCCTGCCTGAGCACATCTGTGTCCAGGCTGCTGCGTCAATGGCAAATGCAACCCCCAGTTCTAGTTCTGTTCTGCGGTTGGTAAATCCGTGTCCAGTTTGTGTTGCTTCACACTGCCCACACAGTTAGTTGTTGCTCTACGCCCCCTCTAATCACCTGCATCCCTGCACTTAGAAAGCTAGCGTATCAGGGAGAAGATGCTTCCAGCGTAGAGATCTTTTCCTGTATGGAAGATCATCCTGTCTGTAAACGCTAGGCAACGCTTATCTGCAAGGTTAACAGGTGTGCGGAGGAGCCACTTCGCTTGAAGTATAATGAACTGCTACCGTGTGAAGCTGTAATTGTTTATGATTTAGGAAACGTTGATTCTCAGGCTTTTGAGCGCGAACCTAGGAGTCTGCCCGCTCGGCGGGAACCAAGATTATTGGTTAATGTCCTGTTTGAATGTCTTACATTATCCCTTGCCCACCCTGGCCCAAGTATTCTGGACAGTGAACTTGTTCCTGCTCTATCATGGCTTTAATAAAATACTACTTTGTATAAACGTGTACTGGACTTATAGCTGTGGGGGACCGGACAGAGGCAAGCTGTCCCTCCGCAGCTCCAATTCACAAGTGGCAAACCCCGGGCGTTGCGTATGTGCCAACTGCCTGCTCCTGCCTTTCTTCTGGAGGGTGCGCAGGCAGCAGTGTGGAACGTTCCAGCAGCCCTCGCACCAGACTCCGTTTCCCCCTCAGGGGGTGCTTTCTTTGCCAGACCAGGGCGGGCCTACCAATACACACCCCTCGTCAGGCAAAAGAAACTGTTCCCATCTGGTGATGCCAGAGGGGGCAGCCAGCAGAGGGAAGAGGCATCTCGTCATCCCCCACATCCATTTCCGCCTTCCAGCCGCCTGGTGAGGTAGTGAGGGTGCCCGCATTTCTTGAGTATGCGCTGAAGAGTAATAGGAATGAGTACAGCCAGGGCTTTTTTTGTAGAAAAAGCCCAGCAGGAACTCATTAGCATATTAGGCCACACCCGTGACAGCACAGCTCATTAGCATATTAGGCCACACCCCCGTGTTGCCAGAAGTGTGGTCATCCAGCCACACCCACCTTTTGCTTCTTATTCTGTTTACCTTGTTTGTGGTCCAAACCCAGGGCCTTTTTTTGGAGCAGGTACTCCTTTGCATGTTAGGCCACACACCCCTAATGTAGCCAATCCTAATGAGTTTCTGCTGTTGGGTGTGGCCTATTATGCTAATGAGTTCCTGCTGGGCATGGCCAACTCAGGAGCCAGCCGGAACTCCATTCCTGTGCGTTCCTGCCCCAAAATAGCCCTGAGTACAGCTACCTTTTGGGGAAATTGATGAATCCGGAATGGAATGTGTGTGAACCAGTGAAGACGCGTCTTGATGATTTTTGATGTTGGGGGAAGTTCTAACGAAACGGAAGACGGAATCCGGAGAATTTCGTCACATCACCTGAAACAACAAACAGCAATTCATTAGACGACTGACTTGATTACCACTAGTATCTTCAATAATTATTACAATTTTGTGTGCACGCTCTGCAGTATTTTTTGCTTACCTTGGGCCTTGTGAGGTAGGCCATGCTGAGTGCCAAGGGTCCCTGGTGAGCTTCACGGCTGAGGGCCGGACTAGATGCTCCGTCTGCTACGAGTCAGGTTGAGTTGCCCAGCCTGTTTTTCGGACAGGTGTGATGCCGGGGAGCTGTTCCTATATGCTCTGAGGCTAGAGCCAGCTCTGTTGTGTGGCGTGAGGGGGAACGTTGGAGGTCTTCCACCCTGCACCGCACCGCTGAGCTGGTTCCAGACCCAGAGCGCATGGGAATGTTATTTCCCAACATCCCGCCTGTCTGTCAAATGAGTCGCAGAATCCCAACCGGACCTGTGGCAGGCATGACACCCATTGTGGCCCTTGGGGTTGAGATCTGGCCCAGGTTTCCTCCAGGCCAAGGCTAACCCTGTAAAAACAACCCCACACTAGCTCTCTGGATGTGTCAAATAACATCTGTCTGTGGACAGACAGACTTCCAGGAGGGTAGAGTCTGCTTGAAGAGCAGAGATATAGATATATATTTTAAAAAGCAATGACACTTAAAATGGCCTGCAGACGGCAGGCAAGAAGATATTGGAGGAGCATATTTTTTTAAAAGCAGTAATGCGGGAGTCCCTTGGACTGCAAGAAGATCGAATCAGTCAATCCTAAAAGAAATCAACCCTGACTGTTCCCTGGAAGGCCAGATAATGAAACTGAAGCTCAAATATTTTGGCCACCCAATGAGAAGGGAGCACTCACTGGAGAAGACCCCGATGCTGGGAAAGACTGAAGGTCAAAGAAGATGGGGACGGCAAAGGATGAGATGGTTAGACAGTGTCATAGATGCAACGAACATGAAATTGAGCAAACTTCAGAGGACAGCGGAAGACAGGAAGGTCTGGCGTGATCTCGTCCATGGAGTCGCGAAGAGTCTGACTCAACTGTGTGACTGAACAACAGTAACAAATGCAGGATAAAGCCTGGTGCATAACTATTGTTGGTCAGCAGGGGGTGCTGCTTCCATTGGCTATGGGCCTCACCATTGCTTCCAGTCCTACTCCCCCCCCCCACTCGTCTGTGTGCGCTACTCTTAAAAGAGCCAGTTCTAGTTACTCTCCGTTCTGTTCCTCTTTCTTTTGAAGGAAGACGGTCTCGGGCTCACCACGATGACTGAGGCTGGCTGCTCTGGGAATTACGCTTGGTCCCCTTACTATAGGCCTTCCAACGGCAATTAGAGACTTCATTTAAAATATTGGAAGGACTTTTAATCAGAGTCTTATTCCTGGCTTACAAGTCTTTTACAATTTAATTGTTACCGTTTATGAGCGTCTTTGTGCTTTTCTGTTGTTGTGCACTGCCTTGGGGCACAGGGAAAAGCCGTAGTATTCTAAATGGGTGCATGCGTGTTTATAGAATATAAAAATATTTCATTGGACTTGGTAACTGGCAGTGCAGTCTTCTGCTGTTACACCAAAATCACTGAGTAAGTGTGCACAGGACTAGAACAAAGTTTGAGTCCAGTGGCACCTTTAAGACCAACAAAGTTTAATTCGAAGAAGTGCGCATGCACACAAAAGCTTATACCCAGAATTCAACTTTGTTGGTCTCAAAGGTGCCACTGGACTCAAACTTTGTTTTATTGCTTCAGACCAACACGGCTACACACCTGCATCTATGCACAGGGCTGTGAGGCTCTTCCAAAATTATGCTAAAAAAGGCAAAAAAAACCCTTCTCAGGGTGAAACTAGATGGCATTGTGACAATTTGGTATGTTTAAACACAAGATCTGCCACAATGACAAATAATGGAGGGGGGGGAGAGTCTTATTTTAAGGAGCTGATCATTCCCCCACCCAGAGTTTGTCTCCCTGCAGCCCCTTCTCATGTCGAAGTGTGGTTGATCTTTGAATTGAACATCTCCCTGTTCACCTCTCCTGTCCTTTCTTCTCAGGTCACGAAGCTGCTTTTGCTGCTTTCCTGTGTTGCCTCTGCAAAATTGGTGTGCTCCGGGTAGACGACCAGCTGGCTATCGTCTTCAAAGTGTTCAACAGGTAAAGCTGCGGGGGGTGGGGGGGGAGACCTAAGAGGGGTGTCAGGGTCGTGCCCCACAATGCAAGCAGCGAACTCCCCAAATCTTGCGTCCTGAGCTGCCCGTGGAGCCAACCTAGATCGGGCAAGGAGGAGAGCTACATAGCTTTAGTCACATGTCTGCCTGTTAACAACAGAGTAGGAGATGGGATGAGAACTGTTTAAAAAACAAACAAAATAAAGTATTTGGATGCGGGGAGCAAAACCCTTTGAAGAGCCATCTTTGCTAGCGGCTGTCGCTACATCCTGTGGCAGGGAGTTCCACAGGCGAATAGTTCATCTATTGAAAAGTCTGTTACCAGAGTGCAGGATGTGGCCATCAGCCTCTAATGAGGCATATGACAGCAGCTAGGCTATCTTTGGCGACGGTCACACTGGAGTCCTGGTGTGATCTGAGCCCACTTGCGGGGAGGGCAGAATACAAATTTGAATAATAAAATAAATAAATAAATTTGCGGCAGTTTAAATAGTTGTGGGAATTTTTGATCAGACATCCCACCCTGGACCGGCTTCACTCCACACTCACCCCGTGGCCGATCGTACAGATTGTTGCAGCATCTTTTTTTTGTCTTCCATCCATGTGCACGTGTGCCTGAAGCTCCGGCTCTTGTTCTGGCAGCTCCACAGTCCCCCTGCTGAGTACTCCGGCCCCTCCCAGCCTCCTTCCCTTCGCCTCTCTTTCTTGGAATACATGGGGGGGGGGTAAAGTGCAGATTTACATGAGAGTAGTCAGGGGTCATTTCACAGAAAAAGAGCTGCAGGAGCTTATTAGCATATGGTATGCTAATGACTTGCAGGGAGGGCAGAATACAAATTTGAATAATACAATAAATAAATAAATTTGCGGCAGTTTAAATAGTTGTGGGAATTTTTGATCAGACATCCCACCCTGGACCGGCTTCACTCCACACTCACCCCGTGGCAGATTGTTGCAGCATCTTTTTTTGTCTTCCATCCATGTGCATGTGTGCCTGAAGCTCCGGCTCTTGTTCTGACAGCTCCACAGTCCCCCTGCTGAGTACTCCGGCCCCTCCCAGCCTCCTTCCCTTCGCCTCTCTTTCTTGGAATACATGGGGGGGGGGTAAAGTGCAGATTTCCATGACAGTAGTCCCATTGTCTTCCATGCATTTACCCTTGTGCTCTCAAACAGCAACTGAGAGTGGCGTGGGGGGGGGATTTGTTGCTCGAAAACAACTCCCCCGGGGACTCCTGATCCAGAATGACTACTTGGCTGCAGTGATTGACAACGCCAGAGGCAATTATGTGCTTAGGCACACATAGCTACCCAAGCAAAAAAAAAACACCACCACCCAAAGGAGGCAGAAACGGAAGGGAAGGTTCAGACTTCCCAAACGGCTTGACTTCGAAACAGGGAGGGGGTTCAGACATCATTAAATGCAGGAGGGAAGTGTTGGCGTACGTAAAGACCGGACTTTCCCTGGTGTCTGCCAACTCTGCTTTCAGGACGCACCAGACCCTGGTGCTGACGACTGGGGCATGGAAGGCAGACGTTGTTGTCTGATCGTGCTCTTTACATCCGCAAAGGTACCCCGACCACAGCCTTTGTATGCCTCCCCCAGTATTAAGCCTCTTTACTCGGCAGTAATCCCTTGTGATATCAGACGGCCTGGCATTTATACCATTGGGGCTGAGTAGCACCGGGAGCATTGGACATGGCTGGTCCTCCCACAGAGATGCGTTTCTTTTTGTTCTCAGGTACTTGGAAGTGATGCGGAAACTCCAGAAAACCTACAGAATGGAACCAGCCGGCAGTCAAGGAGTCTGGGGTCTGGATGACTTCCAGTTCCTCCCCTTCATCTGGGGCAGCTCACAACTGATCGGTAACTAGGCCAGGCCGCGTCTCTGCTGTTCCAGTCATTTCTCTTTTAAAAATCCAAATTCTTTAACTATGCTAAAGTGGGCAAAGCAGAACATGCTTGTGTTCTCTTTTGATCTTCCATCAAGGGATTTTCGCACTCCTTCGTCTCGCTTGCTGAAGCCAGCGGGTTCCAATGGCAGAGGACTCAAATAGTCAATAGAGATCTGTGATGGGTGGGTGAATGTTAAGGATGCTTCCCTGTGTCCTCTGAGCACGTTCTTGGTGCACACGTGCCACAGTAAGAGGGTGTGTTCTTGGTGGGAGATAGAAATTGTAACGGGGGCAATAAGTTCACAGAACCATTGTCCACATACCCATTGTAAATGGCGGTGAGAGGGAAATGAAGGATGAATTAGGCTTCTCAGCCTTCGGTGCCAGCCTCACACAGCCCATTTCTGAGCCCTGGAGAAGGGGTGGAGGCTGGTTCCACCTCCTGCATGAAGTTCTTCCCTGCCTGTTTCCTTCCTTAGTCATCGTTGACCTCAACTGGTTAACTCTAGTGAGGTCTGCTAGTGCGGGGCGGCGGCCGCTGCGCTACGACCGAAGAAACCTGGGTTCAGAGACTCCCTCTGCTGTGAAGTCCGCTGTGTGATCTGGCAGCAGTCGCTTGCTTTCATCCTGACCTGCTTCCTGTGAATGTGTGAATCAGTCTTATGCTTCATCAGACCTCTGCTCCATGCAGCTCAGATTTTATCTCAGGCGGAGCAGAGAAAGGTCTTTCCTCGCACCTGTCAGCTGAGATCCGCTTTTTAAAAAAACTTCAGATGCCTGGGATTAAACCTGGAACCTTCTGCATGCGAAGCTCAGACCCTCCTCAGACTGAAGACCTGTAGCTGTCTTGATGTCAAATCAAACCATTGACCCGTCCAGTTATGTTGTCTGCCCTGACAATAACCCTCCAATGTATCGAGCTAGAGAGAGGCTTGCCAGCCGCTTGACTGCCAGGCAAGGAACCTGGGACCTTTGACAGGCAGATCTTCTGTCGCTTGGACTCAAGCCCTCCCCAGCCTCAGGTCCTGTGGATGAAACGATGGCGGGGAGGGAAATGTGGACCTATGTGCACGGCCCTGGGCTCCTTGGAGGGAGGGCAGGATAAAAATGCACTACCTGAAATCGAGAGAGAGAGAGAGAGAGAGAGCGTGTTTCCCTGCTTACCGGCAGCTGAAACCAGGAATTCTTTGCCGGTTAAGGGTGGAAAAGTAAACTCTGCTCCTGTCGAGCAATCAGGTGATGCTCCTGCTTACGTCAACCAGTTTCAATATGTGATGGAAAGATGCCCGACAATTATGACTTCCTTTCCCAGATCACCCGAACTTGGAGCCTCGGCATTTCGTTGATGAGAAGGTGGTGAACGAAAACCACAAGGACTACATGTTTCTGGAGTGTATCCTGTTCATTACAGAGGTGAGCCTGGGAGAGCTGCCACCAGGGTTTTTTTTGTCTCTCGCTTCCCCTGTTTTTGTGAAAGGCGATACTACTTGTGTTCCCTGGTCCTTGGGTGCAGTCTCTGCCAGAGCTATCCCTGTACATATTCTAATTGACCAGGTTTGGAGAGGGGGTGAGTCCCGACTGAGTGGGAGTCTAGTGTGATGGTTAGAGTGTCAGAGTCATGTTGGGGACACCCGGGTACAAATCCCCACTCTCCTAAGACATTCACTGCATGAATTGGGGTTGGTCATTCTCTCCTGGTCTATCTCACAGCATTGTTGGGAGGATAAAATGGAGGAGAGGAGAACCAGGTATGTGCCCTTCTGCTCCTTCCAGGAAGAGCAGGATAAAAGTGAAGTACATAGATAGTAGTCTAGTGGCCAATCTAATCTGTGTTTTAAAAATGGGGACCATTATCTCATTGTAAGAATCCTGTTTATCATCCTTGCTGAATACTGTATTTGGGTGTGAGTTGGGAAAGGCCTGTTTATTCCTTGGTGAGGAAGGGGTACTGTTTGAAAATAAGGATGTGCACATTCATGTTGCTTGGAGAAATTAAAAAGACCTTTCATTTAAGATTGAGTTTGAATAATCAAAAGGGTGTTGTATCCTTTAATTCATTCAGGTAAGACAGGATATCCTGGACAAAAAAATACTTTTTTAACCATCCCGGAAAGGTGATTGCAGAAATGCCTTGTGTGCCTAGGTTTGCTTCCGCCTGGAGGCTTTGCTCTGCATCCCCTGCCCACACCTGCACTGGCTTTTGTGCTGACACGTGGCATTTGTCCACCTTCCAGATTTTCTCCAGCTTTGGTATGAGCTTTCCTGAAAGATTGTACTTAAGGTGGGTCAGTAATAGATAAGTGTGAATTTTTGGACTTCCCCAACTACATCTGGACCTGTTCTTCCCTCGTGCCCACCACTGGTAAGCTTTCCCCCCTAGCTTTTAGAAAAAAAATCAGTGGTAATATATCGCTATAGTATCATAACACTATAGCAATATACTTACTACTGATTTCTTTTTTTAAAAAATGGCCTAAAGCTAGGGTATCAAACATGTGGCCCGGGGGCCGGATCACGCCTTTGGAGGGCTGCAATCCAGCCTGCAAGGCCCTGGCTGTGTCCTGCTTCCTTTTCCAGTTCTGCTGCTGCTACTACATCACAGCTTACTTTACCAGACTCAATTGCACAGGACAGACAGATAGGCAAGCCTCTCCTGTGCGATTAAGAGAGTCTGGTAAAGCACTAACTGAGGCTCCTCCCCCTCCACCTCCCAGGGGGAGGGAGGGAACCAGCCAGAGTTTCGTTTCCTGGCCAGGCTGCCTCAATCATATACAGGAGACAAAGGGAAGCCTTTCTTTCCTTCCACTGGCTGAGGCAGGGAGGGAACGAATGAGGGAGAGCTTGCTTTGCTGGGCTGCCTCAATTGCACAGGAGAAATACCAGGCACCTTTAAGACCAACAAAGTTTTGTTTAAGGTATGAACTTTTGTGTGCCTTGCTTACAGTGTGTGTGTATTCTGTTGGGCTCCTTATGCTGTGTGTGTTTTGTTGGGCTCATTATGCCAGGGCTCTCCTTGGTGCAACTGGCCCCCTTTTCACTGTATTCATGGCCTCATGATTCAGTCTTTCTCAGTAAGAAAGCAATGTGAACTATTTTAGAGGAGGAATAACAGCAAGCCAGTGAGGTGGATTAGGCTGAGAGTGTGTGTCCAGACTAAGTTCACACAGCACATTTTCTTTGTAGGGAGTTGTAGTAATTTCTCTGGGGAAGACTATAGTTTTGTACACAAACAAACCTCAGTCCTTGTCAGGATGCCTTCTCATGTTCTTGACTAGCACACGAAGCAATTTATGTACAAAAGCTCGCAATGTCCAGCCATTTCATGTTTTCCCCTGGGTCCTAGCCTCAGAATACTGCGCATGGGATTTCTATAATGAATGTCAATAAATCAAAAGTAGGTTTGCAGCTTACAGATAACACATCTGAACAGCATACTCAGGATTGCTACAGCACAGACATTTTGATGGAATAATTCAGAGCAAGAGGTGTCAAGTTATCAGAGACTGTTAAATAGACAAAGTATTACAAGAGTGCTAGTGTTTTAATGTTCCTGCTTATTTAAAGTTTAAAAAATCTTTAATTGTGTTTGTCTGTGTCCTTTATAAAGTTTATATCTCTGCTATCTGGCATTACATTTTATGACACACGTGGCCCAGCCCAACAAGGTCTCATTTATGTCAGATCTGGCCCTCATGACAAATGAGTTCAACACCCCTGGCATAAAGGGAGAGTACAGTTGGGGGAAGAGGCTAATGTGAAGAAATCATAGCTTTATTGCTGAAAGTTTTTGCAGTCTATTCTCTGTACCTATTTATCTACTTGCAATTTCTTGCTTTCGAACTGCTAGGTTGGCAGGAGCTGGAACTAGAGACGGGAGCTCACTCCGTCATGCGGCACACTCGGGTCTCGAACTGCTGAACTACCGACCTTCCACAGCCCGCAGTTCAGCATCTTAACCACTTGAGCCACCGCAGCTCTCTGTTTACCTTCCCATAATTAACAGGAGCCTCACAGGTCACCTTAAAGAGTAGAGGATTTATTGTGACATCCATTTTTGTAGCCTAGTCTTACTCTACTTGCAATTTCACATACACATGTACGTGTGATTATAGAGAGGAAAGTTGTAAAGAGCTGATTTGAAAGACTATGAAATGCAAGAATACACAGTGTGACGTTATGGAACACTACAGGAGCCTCACAGGTCACCTTAAAGAGCATAGGATTTATTGTGACATCCATTTTTGTAGGCTAGTCTTACTTCCTCAAACACTTCACATACACATGTACGTGTGATTATAGAGAGGAAAGTTGTAAAGAGCTGATTTGAAAGACTATGAAATGCAAGAATACACAGTGTGACGTTATGGAACACTCAGACGTAGTCAAGAGAAGCACAGCGTCCGTTCGCAGTAGTGGTCATCGGTGACAGCACAGCCTCCGTAGTCCTGCGATGCTGGGTCTCACCAGCAGTGGGTGAAAAATGCCTGGTCTTTATTCAGGTCTTGGGAAATGCAGGCAGATTTCTGGAAGGAGCCACAGAGCTGATGCCACACTAAATCTGTTTGTCTTTAGGGTGCTACAAGACACCTGTTTGGTATTTGTTTTGCTGCAATAGACCGACCAAGAGTACCCCTCAGGAAATCGTTTCCAATAACTGTTGGCCTGTTCTTTGCGTGCTGTGTTTGTCATATCCCGGACAACATCACGTTTTCCTCCTCTTCCATCTAAGTTGATTTCTCGTTGTGGCAAGTGGAGGGTGACGCCCCTGACCCTCTGAGTGGATCACTCCGAGTAAAGGAAATCTGGGTCATGCCTGCACAGACTGTGAGCCCTGGACCCAAATACAGTCTGCGCAGGGGGGCTTACGAAGGCTTCTAATGTCCTGGCCCCACTGGTGGACCTCCTGATGGCACTGGTATTTCTGGACACTGTGTGACACAGAGTGTTGGACTGGATGGGCCTTTGGCCTGATCCAACATAGGCGTCTCTTATGTTCTTATGTTTTGACTCTCCACCTCTGACTGCAAAATCAGGGCTTGGCGAGTCCCTGGCAAGCCATGAAAGCATGGCCGACAGGCCACATTTTGAATTGGTGAGTCACTTCTTGGAGCGGCCCGGTTTAGGTAACTGTGCAGCCGAGCTGAGGCCCCACTGCTCTGCTGAATTGCTTGTTACCCTTTGAAGTGCCAAGCTGACGATGATACGAATCTCCTCTTAGACACAGTGCATGTAGGTACTCGCTCTGGAAAGGGTATTGGGTTAGGCACAGCACTGGTGTACTCAGAATGTTCTTATAGGCTGCTATAAGCAGTCCCATATGTTTCTGCTTCCTTCTCCTCCCCACCCCAAACTAGTCTTGGGTTTTGCCATATAACTTTCCCTCCCAAATTTTATTTCAGGTTGCAGTGCAGTTTGGATTTCCAAAGTTAGCTCCTGTAGCGCCACCTAGTGGCCAGTAAACTACATTAAGCACTGTCACATAAGGAAACTTGCGCCTTCTGGACACCAAGTTTTTTTTCTGGATTTATTTACATTTTTTATTTTAAAGGATTGTTTTGTGGCCGTATCTTCATATTAATGACTTTCAGATTCAGCGTAACCTCACCTTTCAGGTTCAGTCTCTAATCCTCAAATTGTCATGGAAGATCAAGGCTGTGCTCACCTCGAACGCCTTGAGATCAGGAAAGGAAACAAGCGAGAAACTTAAAGGGGAAATTTAAAATATATTCCATATTTGTTGCCTTTTACAGTGGTGGGGAAGGTAAATCCTTTTAAATGGAGTCACTGGAAAATTATGAAATGCAAACTGGAGTGTTTTTTTAGGCTATATTGCCTTAATATTCTAATAAGTAAAGTTCTCCGAGCAGAGACGGACACTCCCCCGCCCACACACATGCACCCAGTTCCACAGTTGACAGTGCTTTTTGATTCTCATCTTGTTTGTTCTTTCAGCACCTTCTGTGTGGATACTTCTCCCCTCATTTTTATTTTTAAAAGGAGGGGGAAACCAAGTCGTATGCCTAGCCCCAGGCCACCCAGTGAGTTTTTGGCTGCAGCCAGCAGCTCTCTTCTCCCAGGCCCGAGT